CCGGTCACTTCTATTAAATTTTATAAGCAAAAAACAAGAACTCAATCTAAAGGACATAATTTAACAATTAAATACTTCACACCACAGGTGCCAACTGTCAAACATGTCACTGTCACCCCTCCCTCCCTACCCCCCCACCTTCCTGAGAAACGTTTGGGGAAAAGTACTAGGTTTACAGGTTTAATCATATATAATATCTCAGACTAAAGTTAGGAGAATATAATTTGTATTGCTGGAATCATTGCAAGACGGCGAATAATTTGAATATAAACGTCATATATTTTGCACAAAAGATAAAATTTTTGCTCTAATAAAATTTGTATGTCTAATGCAAATTATAGCTTGTTTATATTCAAATTAATCACTATCTTATAAGAATTCCAGCAATGGTAATTTCTATGAATTTTATGAGCTAAAAACAAAAACTCGAGTAAATAAACAAATTATACTTCACCAGACACACTATCTGTCAATCAAAATACACCTCACCTCCTTCCCACGCCGCTTGCTCCCTCCCTCCCTCCCCGTACCTTCCCAGACAAAAGTTTCGTGTTTTTCGTTAGGCTTTAAAGTGTTATCTTGTATAATATCTCAGACTAAAGTTAGGAGAATATAATTTGCATTGCTGGAATCGTTGCAAGACAGAAAATAATTTGAATATAAACATCATATATTTTGCACAAGAGATAAAATTAATCACCTGTATCACATTACAGTAGTGATTTAAGAGTTCTAGTGTATATGTACGATATATATAGTGATTTAAGGGCGATTTAGGGGAATTTTAGGAGTGTTTCTGACTTAATGCATTTTTGGCTTTACTTTGTACAGTATATACTTTTATGTGAGCTGGAACCAATTACCCAATATCCCATTGAAACAATGGTTTCGGTTAACAAAATTTTTGGTTAATGAACGACCCTCTGGAACGAATTGAGTTCGTTATCCAAGGGACCACTGTACAGTACTGTATGTGTATACAGGAGCCCCCCCCCCCCCAAATTCGCGGAGGTTAGGTTCTCAAAATGGCCGGGAATCACCAAATCCGCGAATAACATTTGCGGACTGGGGGTGGGGGGTGCATTTTTATTTGTGTACAAAGAAATGCATATTCCCTTCATGTGTTTGCCCTAAGGACAATTATTTTTTTTTTACCTGTAGTATTGTGTATGTGTGTGTGTAGACACACACACAAGCAAAACACATGCAAATTAATAATAATTGGAAAATCCTCTCACAAATAATCAGAAACAAATTAATTAAAAATGTGAGTCTACCCTCAAGTCCGTCCTTTGATGGATATCACTATTTTCATCCTTCCTCTACATCAGCGGTTCCCAACCTCAGGTCACAACCCAAATCAGGGTCGCGAGGGGCCCTCAGACAATTTTAAAAATATAGTACTTATCATAAAGTCAAACAAATTTTTGCTTAACATTCAAGCTATATAATATTTTTATATGCCTGTGGGTCACGACACCATATTGTTGGGAAATTTAGGGTCGCAACCAAAAAAGGTTGGGAACCACTGCTCTACATGTTGGCATTGGATGTAACCCTCCAGCTAGAATAGAAATATGGTTGAAAGTCCTTCAAAAATAAGATTTGATTTAGCCTCAGGCCTGGAGCTACGTATCTGGCTGTGCGCTCAGTGCAAGAAAGTGGCAACATCCCGTTCAGAGCGAGAGGAACGCGAGCCAATGACAGCGCGCTTCCCTCGGACCATACCCCCCGAGGCAGCCAATCACAATGGATTTCCCCTTGCTACGTCACAGCTCCTCGGCCTATCCATGCGCCCAGATGCTGCCTCCTCCTTTAGTTTCAGCGTGTTGTATAGCATAAGGAGGTTTAGTTTACGTTCTACTGCTATTCTTGATAACTTTTTGGAGTAGCATTGATGTTATTCGTGTTCCACTGGTGTGAGAAGTTCTGTGCAATATCTGCCCGATATTAGAGCAAGACTCGAGTGAGGCCAGGCCTTCTGGTGTGGGTTCAGGAGCCCATTATTCCTGAGCGTGTGTTTGACGCCAGTGCTCGCGTGGACACCCCAGTAATGCTTGGTGATAGTGATTTCGGTGGTGATACAAGTGCGACTGGCGATGGTGCAGGTGACGTGCATTGGAATATGTTTTTAGAGTCTATGATGACTAACGTGTTGACAATGAAAGTGACTTGCAGCATGATGAAAGTGATTATCATAATGACAATAACACTTTGAATGCACAGAATAACTTTTTAGTGTGCTACAAAGCATCCAAAGATCTTTTTGCTGACTATGACGAGTTAAAAGACAATGTGGCATGCATTGACGATGCTGATGACGGTGAAAGTGAGCTTGAAATAGATGAAACTGAGTATTCTCATAATACAAAAAGTGACTGCTATATATCACAAGATCTTTTTGCAGACTGTGTTCCGGTGCAGAGTTACGTGACATGCACTGACGGCAATAATGACGATGAAAGTGAAGATGAAAATGATGAAAGCGAGTCTAATGGTAACACAAACATTGACACTAATGTATCACAAAAAGAACATACAGACTGTGAGGCGGTAGAATTGGACAGTGACAAGATATGCATTGACCTTGATAGTGATGAAAGTGAGCCTGACCCAACGAATGCTAGTGAAAGTGAGCCCATAACTCAGTCTTATAATGAAACTGAACTGCTGCTGGCATCAATAATCAATGATTAAGTTGATGAAGAATCTGTGTGGCGATTTTTAGAGAGTGCAGAGAAAGACTATGATCAGTATGTGATTGATTATGACGAGACCATTAAAGTTATACGCACTCCTCAGGATTTACGTAACTTCAAGTTACTACGATATTCAGGGATAATAAAACGAAGGAACTAAACAAAGTAAGATTGTAATACTATTATCATAATACTGTTTTTTTCCAAAGATTATTCAAACTTTCTCAGTCTTTGTATTCGTATGTTAATTACGTTAGGGGGGGAGGTTAATGGTGGGGGGGATTACTGTAGTGGTGTTTCCTTATTATTACACACTATTATGCTTAACAATATTATAAATCTTTGGCTAATAATAGGGACTGAAAGATAAAAATTGATAGGCAAAGGAGTTTTTTATTATTATTTCATTTTGGGGGGTTTATGGGGGGCTGTTTTTGGTGATCATTAACTTGTGGAAAAATCAATTAAATATTCTAATGTGGCTTAGAAATAAAGAAAATATAATATTAAACTACAGTGTATCAAATCAGAAAAATGAATGAGTGTGGATGTGGATCTGAATGAGGCGGTAGGCTATAACTGTGTAGCCATGCTCTCGCCCAGTGTGACGTCATGGCATACACACAGTGCAGAGCGGCTTAAATGGGTACAGTACGTAAGTTATAAGTTAATTGTAATTTATGTAATGCTATGTATCGATTTCCTTGTTTATTATAGCAATAAATATTGTAGCTCATATCTGTTGCATGTAATATTCAAACTTACAGTACTAGCTAATTTTGTAGGAATTGAATTTTTATTAATACAGCACGTATTATTATTTCATTTGGGTGCCGGTTAATTGAATCTACCTGATGCCAGATAACTGAGATTCTACTGTACTTTCTAACCAATTGCCCAGCTCAGTTCTCCTGAAAATGGAATTGGAAATTTCTTATAATCACTCAGAAGTACTTTATATACAGTACAGTGGTCCCTAGGTTAACGAACACAATTCGTTCCAGAAGGTCGTTCGTTAACCGAAACCATTGCTTCAATGGGATTTTAGGTAATTGGTTCCAGCTCACTGAAAATTACATACAAAGTAAATAAAAAATGCAGTAAAGTACACTTAATTTGAGGTGTGTATGTAGAAGGCTCCTGGTTGATGATGATGATGATGGGAATTTGAAGTGGGGGTGGAGCAGAAGGGAGAAGAGAAGGAAGTGGGGGTGGAAGAGAAATCACCCCATGTTTCATGCCGTCATTTCACCCATAAAATTATAAGTTCACTAGGTGTAATTCAAGGTTATTTTCTTTAAATCAACACTGCACTGCACTATATATTATCAATATGTAAAATAAATTTCAGAATGACCAATAATTGTACTGTAAAAATAGTTTATGTTCAAGAGAGCCACAAGCAAGATGTTACCTCCACTGACCAGAGATACAAACTGACGCCTTGCTGGGTGAGTCAAGTAGCTGATTGGCGCACCAAAAACTAGTTTCCTGTACTGCAGTTATGTTAAATAAGTGTTAAAATGACAAAAAAAAGTTAATATAAAACTTGGAAAATTATTGAATAGTACAACCTTTTTGATATTTACTCAAATGGGAACGAATTTAAGCCCTAAAACCGATTACTGTATTGGCGGACTAATATTCCAGCTGGTGAGCAAGCGAAAACATGTTGACATGATTTCGTAAGAATTTCGTTAACCGAATTGAAGATTCTTATGGAAGGTAATTCGTTAACCGAGGGATCACTGTATTGTAATAATAAGAAAGTGGTCAGGTATTGTAGGCTTGTTGAATTTTCCTGGCATTTGATTGGTATAGTAGTTGGTTATTATACTGTAATTTTAGGTTCAGAGGGACGTTCGTAGCCTATTTAATCATGTAATAGATCAGTGGCTTAGATATGTATTCAAATTTTTTAAACACCAATAAGATTCCATTAGTATGTGCACAGTAGTTTTTGAGAACATTTGTTTTCTTTGGTTGTATTTGTGAAACTTGAATGTTCACACTATAAAGGTCTGAATGAATGTTATGCTCCTTACCATTCCTATGACAGGTCAGTAAATTCACAGAATTAAATTTTGCTGATTGTGGCTGACAAGCTTGATCTGATTTTTATACGGTCTGTGGTACATTTATTGCATCCAACCAATTCGTGTAGTACCTGTAGTTATCTATTAATCTAATCTTTTCTAATATTAAAAAAAATGTTCCTCAAAATTGCGTTCCTTTGACACTTTCAGTTCTTTCATCAGCCAGGTATTGCAAGTATTAAGATATTCTTTTTTTTTTTTTCAGGAAGAGAAAAGCTGTTCACTAAAGCAAAAGAAAAAGGCAGAAGATATAAATGAAAAAAGTATTGATGATGAAGATGGTGCACTGGATAAGTCTTGTGGTGATGACAGTCAACATTCACCACAAAAAATGATAATAGAAGTTGATGAGAGCGATGAGGAAATACAGATCAAAACTCCTCCCAATGCTGTCAAGAAATATGTGAAGATGACTTCTTCGTCCCCAAGTGATAAACCTAAGCAATTGTCTTCCAAGAAAAATACTCAAAAGAAAAAGAAAATTGCTGCTAAGAGACCATTACTTAAGAAACTCCCACAAGAAGAGGAGAAAGCAACAGAAGAAACAGCAAGTTGTAATGAAGATAGTATTCCAGAGAACAAGGTTTCTTCCACTCTTACATCCAAACAAACTAAAGAGGCACCTGGTGTTAGGAAAAGGAAAGCATCATTAAAGAACACCCAAAATTGTAAGGAAAACATTACAGAAGCTCCTGTAACAACAGTTCCTCTACCTAAGAAGACAAAGAATATTAAAGGTAAATTATCTACTTCCGATGCTGACATTTCACTTACCAAGACTACTACTGGAAAGAGAAAGCAGGGCAACAATCACTCAACGCCAAAAAATCTTATAAAGAAATTAAAAGTTATGCCATCTGTAACAAAATCAGATTGTGTCAATGAAACCTTATCTGCTGAAAGAACAGCCATTCCAGAAAAAATCACATCAATGGAAGGAGATACATCCATAAATGTCAAGTCATTGACAAACACATCTCCTGTGGAAGAAGCACTAATACAAACAACAGAGAAAGGACAGACATGCTTAACTTCCAAGAAGGCCAAAACTCCTAAGAAAAGCAAGACTCCAAAGAAATCTTTGTCCCCAAAAATAAAACAAAACCCAGATTCTACTGACACACCCAAAAAGAAAAACATAATAAAGGTCAATGGTGAAGAACAGGTACCAGTAACTCCCAAGAAAGTAAAAACACTTAAAAGGAAAACACCTAAAAGCACCACTTCATTCAAAATAACAGAAGGTTCAGATCAATCTGGAACACCAAAAAAGATCAGCGTTATGCAAGTAAATGTTGCCCAAACTCCAAGTTTTACAGTTTTCCAAAAAGATAATAAAGTAGTTGGTAAGTCAAAGAAGATAAAATGTGTAACACCTGCTGTGCAAAACAAGACAACTAGGAAAATAAAAGCAAAGGTAGCCAAGTCTGTCTAGCTTGTTTGTACATTATAGATTTGTAAGGATGGTGTTGATTTAAATTAAAAATGTGCTTTTGGGTAATTTCTTCTTTTGTAATTGTTTTCCCTGGTGATCTGAAATATTTTACCCCCACTTCGTTTATCATATTTCGTATATGTCCATCTGTATGGACAGTCTCATTCAAGATTCTTTGAACACTGTTGGAGACAGCTGGCAACTCAAGGCCGTTTGTTCACTGTAGTACTTAGTAAAAATTATGAATGAATGTAAAATTTGATTGGTGATTGGTTACTTAGTTCCCCATTGCTTAATTAATGATTGGGCTTTGTTGTTTCGTATTATATTATACTACGTACTATAGTAAACAAACGGCCTTGAGTCGCCAGCTGTCTCCAGCAGTGTTTGAAGAATCTTGAACGGCATTGTGCATAAGTTTATTCATATGTACTTCTATCCTACATTAGTTTTTTAGCAGGATTACCTAAACCTATCTAGCAGAAGGCAGTTTTATTTTATTGGTTTCATGAACTCCCCTAAATTACTGTGTGTTCTTGCAGTAAACCCTAGATAACTCGACATGAATATGGTTTCGGAATGTACAGGTATTAGTGTAACTCGGGAAATGCCGAGATGTATAAAATTATCTGGGAAAATCTTGGCATATATGGCCACCTGCATCACCTACCATGCCTGTGTCACCTATCATACCTCTGTGTCACCTATCATACCTCTGTCACCCCATGCATCTGTGTCAACTATGATGTTTCATTCTTCACCCTCAGTGCTAGTAAATGTTACTTTTTCACATTTAGTATTTACATGTACTATACACATACCGTATATACCCGTGTATAGCACGAGTTCTTAAGACCAAATTTTTGGGCAAAAAGTTGGGGGTCGACCTCTATACGGGTAATAGTTTCGTTAGGTTGAAAAAAATTTACCAGTAACTACCAGTAAACAATGGAAACGATGCACCAACGCACCACCCGCTGTGAGTGTCGGTACAGTTGCCAGGGCAGATCTCTTGCGTCATCATAGCAAGCCCAAAGTAGCCAAATGCATGGTATGGTATGCACAGGAGTATGTAAAACATAAAGTATTCATTTTTAAAAGTGTATTTATAGATACATAAATTTTTGTTAATTAAATTTGAAACATCAATATGATGTGAGTCAGGTCATCTACACACAGTTGCCAGTTTCAAAATTTTCCTTTTAAAATTTTAAGTTACCGAGTATTTCTTTTCCCAAATCGTTTTACAATACTGTAGGTAAAACAGTATACTATTGTGCAAACCCCACAGAAAAAAAATTAACAAATGGAGACACCAAAAATGTAAAAAAAAAAAATGCTGTCTGACTTGCAACACTGTTGGTAGGGTCAGGTGGTTCTAACGGTACCTGCCAGGACCCGGTAATCAAATTTATAACAATATCTAACCTCAATTACTGTAGTTTATCTGATGTAGGCAATATGAAGTAAAAAATACCAGTTAAAGTGAGAAATTGGAAGAGAATAAACAAGAAAGATGTTGGGCTATTTTTGGTAGGGCTGAGGGAGAGAGTACCAGCTGTTTGGTCTTTTTTGGCGGGAGAGTCACGCAAATATCCGTACTAGTATTTGTTTGGTGTCTTCTGTATTTTTAAAAATGAATACTTCTAAATTAAAAGTACCGTAACATTGTATTATATAAAAACTTGTCATATTTCTGGAAAATAAGAAGCAAGAAAATAAGAATACACCGGTAAACACAATTTCAACGTACGCTAAAATTAAAAGCTGCTTAAGAAGGGCCGATGCAAACACAAAGCCTCCACGACCAGGGCTCTGCCGTATCAGCTAGACGGTACACGTGTTTTTCGAATCGTTTTCAGTTAAAAAACTTTTACATCACAAGTGAATTAGGATAGAATATTATTGTAATATAACAGTTTTTAACTGAAAACCATTCAAAAGGCGATTACGGTAACATCTTTTGAACGAAAGAAAGTGAGTCATTGTTTTTGTCACGATTTTATCCCACTTTCCACTATAATACGTACGTCATTTCAGCAAAAATATTACATTTCCATATTCTCAGAAATAAATAGTAGTTTTGCTGAAACGTGATGTATTTCAATGTAAATTAGGATAGACTACATGCAGAAAACAAAAGACTTTACCTAACCTTCCGATGTTCAAGATATGTTACTCGTATTTTTAATAGTTTTCGGTTAAAATACTGTTATATTAGTGATATTCTATTCATACTGTGGTTGATATAATACCTTCACGGAAATGTAATATTTTTTGCTGAAATGACATACGTATTACAGTGGAAAGTGGGATAAAATTGTGATGAAAACAATGACTTTCGCTTTGTTTCGTTCAAAAGATGTTACCGTAATCACTTTTCGAATGGTTTAGTTAAAAAACTGTTGTATTGTATTACAATAATATCCTAATTGACTTGAATAAATATTACGATACCATATTTCTGAATATTTTCATTAAAATCCATCAAAATCATTTTCCTTGTCATCGTCTGCAGCACCAAACAGCTTCTCCCAGTCCTCTCCTTGAACAGGGCTAGAGGGAACGTGTTTTTCGAATCGTTTTCAGTTAAAAAACTATTACATCACACGTATATTTTACCTAAACTGTGCCTGAATGAATATATTCTCGGAAATAAATAGTAGTTTTGCTGAAACGTGATGTATTTCAATGTAAAATAGGATAAAATACATGACGAAAACAAAAGACTTCACCTAAGCTTCCGATGTTCTTGAGATGTTATTCGTTTTTTTAATAGTTTTCGGTTAAAATTCTGTTATATTACAATGATATTCTATTCATACTGTGCTTGATATACTACATTCACGGAAATGTAATATTTTTTCCTGAAATTACGTACGTATTACAGTGGAAAGTGGGATAAAATCGTGACGAAAACAATGACTCGCTTTCTTTCGTTCAAAAGATGTTACCGTAATCGCTTTTCGAATGGTTTAGTTAAAAAACTGTTGTATTACAATAATATTCCCTCCTAATTGACTTGAATAAATACTTGAATGGAAATATACAATATTTTTGTTGAAACTACCTGCGTTTCAGTGTAAAGTGTCGTAATAATAAATGGTAAACAAGTTTATAGGACGTAGAGTTTTTCTGAAGGTTTTGTTGTTCCATTACCCTCAAAATCTTGGGTCGACCTATAAACGAGGAATATCATAAATTAACGATTTCTTGGTCATAAAATCGGGGTCGACCTATATACGAAGGGGGGTTATAGACGAGTATATACGGTAATTATATAGGTCGATAATTTTTTATTGTTGTCATTTTGCAGGAGGGGGGAAGTGCCTCGATAAGTCAGAATTTGAGATAACTCGGCAAGGCCAGAGCCCCATATGTGCCAAGTTATCTAGGATTTACTGTACTTAGACTTTCAAGCTGTCTGTCTGTTTGTCTTTTTTAACATTAGTTATGACTGAGCTTCATAAACATACTGTAAGTACTGGGTTATTTTTATATTTCAATTTAAAATGCAGAAATAAAGGTATAATAGCCAATATCAAAAGGAACTATACAAGATTTCCTGAACTGGACTTTAGAATTTGAATTATCTCTAACTTTGTATTGGGATACTTAGAAAATTATGTTCAGGAAGGTAAATTTTGTTTACCATCAATACAGAAGAAGCATGTTGTTACTGTGTTCAACATTCTTAAAGGTATTAGCACTCTTCTTATTAGTTTATGACTTAGATGTATTTGAAAATGCATTGTTTGAATAAATCAATTTCTATACATATTAAGTGGTAATGTTTCTAACCTAGCACTGGTTGATTGATGTGGATATAGTACATCTCAGTCATGTGATGCTCCATTTACTTAAAAAAGAATTTTCTATTTAAAAATGGTGTAACAAAACTATAGATAAAATACATACATACTGTATAACTGAAAATTTACTTAAAATATTTTAAAAATAAGTATTTATACTGTATATGCTGGAGGTGACCAGCATGATCAGTAAACTTAAAACTTAACCCCCTGGAGATGAAACTTCTGCTCCAAAAACCAAGGATGGGCAATACACCGTAGTTACATCTCCCAAAAGTCCTCAAGAAAAGTCGCCCCCTGAGGTCACCCAGACCTGGACGCTCAACCAGTAAATGTTTTATACTCTAAGTCACTAAGGGACTAGGCAGTCATCACATACTGGCTGGGGCTCTTGGGCCCGCCTAGAGGGTCCAATGTGAAGCCTGGTCAGGACAGTCTTACCTCCAATGCTTTCAGGGGAGTATCACCATTGTAATTTCCCAGAACTTCTTTAGTCCAGGAGTGGCATCCCAACAATATTGCTAGGCATTACATATATAGCAGCTCAATCCTAGGATGTACAGTGTATTCCAATACAGGAGTGGTTGAAGCACAGAAGTTGAATTGGACACGAAGACCCTATTCCCCTTCTCATTTGCATGGGCTGGTAACAAGCAGGCAGACACTGCACTAGCAGTCTTGTTATCCTAACATCATCAATAATAATATTCCTTTTTTTTTTTTACACTTGTTAATAACCTAGTTAAGGGTTAGCTGGGGTGTTTGGTATGCAGGTCCTTCATATTCCTACAATTTGTTTCTACACTCACTATTAGCTTGGCTTGTCAGCAAATAGGTTGTCTGGGTCAAGGCTTTTAAGATGTATAGATGTAGTTCAAATAAGGCCCTCAGGACAACTCCAGTTTTGAAGGCAAGTTATACAGGGATTCTTGCCTTGGGAACTTGTAGGATCTACTTGAAAAGTTTTCCTTGAGGGGATTATTAAGTCTCTCTGGGGATTATTAAGAGTCTCTTCACATCAATTTAATGGACTTGTGGAGGCCTTTCCAGGGATTTGGAAATTGGCCATCTCTGAAGTCAGTTGTTCAGCCAGAACAATCATTGACCTCTTCCCCCACCAAATATGAAATAGTTTTCACATGATGTCACATACTCCCATAATGCAACACATCTATACGTACAAGATGGTGCACCAGGCAAAGGATTATGGGAGGTGTGACATCAATGCAAACAAAGAATATTCGTATTATGTTTTGCAATATCTTTGCTGATTTTTTGTTTTACGAATTAGATTCCAAAAAATACCAGCATCGTAGAAACAAAAAATATGAAGCTATTACCACAAATATAATATTAAAAATATTACAGTGAACCCTCACTTTACGCGGTTAATTGAACCCACGGCGGCCCGTGTAAAGTGAGAAACGCGTAAAGTGAACAACATAACATATGGG